TTCCTCCATTGCTCTAGGTTTGTTTTTCTTTGGGATTAGACAGATATTGGTCTGGTTAAGTCTAGGATCAAAAGTTCCGGAACTGAAAAAGTTTTTAACCAATTTAACAATATCTTGGCGAATAAAAGGCCACAATTTTTGGTAAAATTTGCTTGTCATACCGTCAAGGCCAGGAGCTTTGTCCGGATTAATATCAAAAAGAGCCTCTTTAATTTCTTTCTCCGACAGGTCCTTTAAAAGTAATTGGTTTGTGTTATCTGAGACTTTCTCGGTAATAAACCGGAGGGAATTTTCTGGGTCTGAGGGGATAGACGATGAGAAGAGGTCTTGAAAATACGTAGAGGCCACTTTTTCTATTCCTCTTGCATTTTCCACCAAATGTCTGTTACTATCCATAAGGGAGACAATGCGATTCCTGGCTCTCCTTTGTTTAGTGAGAGCATAGAAGAATTTAGTGTTTTTATCACCGTCTTTGTGCCATTTCTCCCGACTCTTCTGTTGCCAGAACATATCTTCTTCCCTAAGGGCAGCACAGAGTTTCCTCCTGATGTCTTCAATTTCCTCTAGTGTTGTATTATCATCCTCTTGGGCTAAGTCCAGTTGTTTTTTTAATTCTTCGATCATTTTTTCCGAGTTAGTCGGAAATGATTTCTTCTAAACAGAAATGTTTTTCCGGCATTTTGCAACCTTTTGATGAAAATCTCGACGTGAGATTTCATCAAAGGAGCCCCACCCGGAAATGACTGTCGCTTTAAAACCAGGCTTTCCAATCCATCTTTTATCGAATCGAAAAGATTATTTCTTCCTTATGTTGTCGATTTTTATCATAGCTAAGAATGGTCGATGATCTGATCCCCAAAGTTTCATATATTCCACCGAAGAGTGAAAAAATTTTGAAAGCCATTCTTCATTTCCAAGAGCTCTGTCTAGACGCCATTTGACTTTGCCAGACCGTCTTCTTCCAACCCAGGAAAAAGAATTTCCTTTGTATGGGAAGTCAAGTATTCAACAGTTATCTAGCGTAGTTCGAAATGGAATAAATGAGCTTTCTGGTCTCCTCCTACCTCCCGTTTCTCATGATTTCCGGTAATCTCATTAAAATCACCTATCATAAACCAGGCTTCTTTTCTGGTAGTGCTTATCCTTGTTAGACGTTCCCAAACATTTTCTCGATTTTTTACAACCGGATCACCATAAACAAACATCATAAAAATTTTATGTCCGTCTAGACTTGATTCAACATCAATCAAATGCTCATCAGAGTAGATAATAGAGACTGTTGGTTCGTCCATATAAAAAAGAGCTAGACCGCCGCTTCGACCTCTCGGTTCAACCGTGAAAACATGGTCATATCCAAAATGAACTTGCATATCTTGCAGAAGGTAACGATTATTTTTGGTCTCCGACAAAAAAAAAAAAACCTCGGTTGAAAACATTTGTAGAGTTCTTCAAGATGATCTTTTGTCAGATCCGAACCAGCTCTTTAACAATTCCACCCGATGATGTTCATACTAAGCAGAAGTTTCTGATTTCTAATTTAAAACTTAGATGTATTTTAGCCAAAAAACAGTCTTAGGCTTACCTCCCAGAATTGAATTAGATCCACTAATTTAGTGACCCAATAATAATATTAGGTCAAAAGCTTTTTGTTTTTTTGTTTTTGATTTCCTTTCCGCCGGTTAGTATCTCCACCGCCACTACAAGCCAGACTGGCGAGCTTAGAGTCAGCTTTTGACAAGATCAAAGATGAGAACGTAAAGAGCACTGCCGGTACGCCTTTCTTTGTCTCATCAGCTAGCGCCTTCTTTCTTCAGTAAGCGCCGCCGCAGCGGTCTTTCTTGGTCAAAAGGACCGGCGCAAAACTCATCCAAAATTAAAGCCCAGATTTTGGTCGCCAAAGTTCAAGGAATCTTCAAAAGAGCAAACGTTTAGACTGAGAGATCTTTCTTTAATTGATGCAGTTGGAATTTTCCTAGCCTTGTGTGGGATGTGTTTGGGACAACTTAGCATAAAGCTAGATTTCTTCAGATTTTGGATTCTTTAATCTTCGGTACACCATAAAAAACTTCCAAAACAGGAGAGGTCTTCAGTCTTGGCAGCAACAGGTCTTCAATCTTTAGAGGTGAACAAAGATTTCTTTCATCGGAGAGAGGGGACTTCAGGTCTTGATGCAGCTTCTTCGGATGAGAATTCCATATCACAGAGAAACCCATTTCCGTCCGATTAATGGCGATGGCGATGGGAAAGGCTGATGGAGCAGAAACAAAATCCGGTGGCTGAGGAGGAGGAGGAGCTAGATCTGGTGACAGCAGAGATCCACGGGTATCCGGCGGGTCAGGGGATCTGGTGGTTCCAGATGAATCACAGAAACTGTCACCATCGACGACATCTGGCCGTAACAGATCTAACGGGTCGATTCCTGCGTCTTGAAGTTCAGATCTGAGTTTCTGCTAAATTGCTCAATTCAAAAAGAGACGAAGAGGAAGAGAAGAAGAGAACGAAGGAGAAGAAAACCCATCGTTTATTAAAGACTAGTATGATTTAAAATGTGAACTATTGAAAAAGGAAAAAAAAATGACGGGTTTTAAGACTTGGTGATTGAGATTCCCTGATAAATGTTTCTTTGTGTTTAAATGTCTATTTTATAAATAGTATCACATGTGTCTATGTTATAATCTTTAGTTAAGAGTTCCTCTTATACACATACTTCTTTTCTCTCGCTGATTTTCTTTTGTTTTCCTAGATAGATTAACACAACCGTTCTGGGCTCTCCCCTTGAGATGGTCAGTTCTTTCATAAGTGTTCTCTGTAGCAATTCAATTTGATGATGTTTAGATGATTATCGATTTGTGGTCATTTTGGGTTAATAAGTAGTTTTTTTTTTCTTTGGGTTTGTTATGATTTATGGCTTCTCATTCTTCCTGCCACTATTGTTATTTGCAGTTATGCCCAAACTCATGAGCACAAGAACATCTCAGTTCCGGAGTTTACATATGTCTCATCTGCTAAGGTTCAAGTCAATTACCTTTCTCATTGGTTTATCAATTATAAATGCCAGTTTGATGACTAGTCAATGGTCAGCCTCTATTCTTCTAACATGTATATTGTTCTCTTAATTCTTATAGTCACTTATAAAACTTGTGATTTTTTTTTGTTTTGATCTTCGCAAAATCAATGTTAATTTGCTTTGTATGGTTGTGCAAGCTTTGATATGATTATTGATCATAGTTTGCTCTCATCTCTAGAAGCTCCTAAAGGGTTTTATGGTTTTTTTTTTTGGTGTTTTAGGTGTCTTCTCTGGTGTTATCCTTGGACTAGCTCCAGCACCTGAGTACATGTTCCTCATCTACGCATCTCCCGTAGGAGATTACCATAAGTTGAGTTTGTGTTCTGCTGTTTTATATACTTGGTGAAATAAACTCTACCGAAAGACTCTCTAAAGATGAAATGGTTAAGCCGGTTTTTCTTTGTTGTAGGTAAGCACATGCTTGAAGTAAATATCTAGTTTTCTGATTTGTTCACTTGTATAAATGAAGTAAGTTTTGATTTTTTCAAAGAGTTGCATTATGTTTGTTTGTTTTCAGAAGCGTGGATGCTTATTACTTTTGTTTCCATAAGCTCTCTCGGTCTGCTTATGTGTTCAGTTCGATTCTGATTTTGCTTGTGTACTGGATTAGGTGATCTGGTGAAGATGCTTTTGAGACTGCAAAGAGTTGACGTTTAATTATTCGAATCAATGAATTCCAAAAACAGAAGAGGGCAACTGCTGCAAAAACCAGTTGCAAGATGATCAAATCTTTTTGAGGTAATTTGTTCATTTGGATTTTGGTACAATTCTCAAATTATGCCTTTGCTTGATGACTTTGGAGAATTACGTAATCACAGATTCCCAATACATCAGTATGGTTTTGGTTTGTTGCAGTTGCTATGTGTGTTTTGTTGCTTAGAATAATTCAACTTATGGCATTGATTCTCTCCCAGGCTAGGCAAGCTCTTCTCACGCAAAGAATTGCTTCAGCACTTCAAGCAGCCATGATGTTAAGACCACGTTTTGTAAGACATTTGGTATGCTGTTTAAGACTTGATGTTTTGTAAGAGTTGTTTTAGTATGATGTTTGTCCTTGTGATGTTTTCTGTAAGACATGTTTGGATGTTTAATAAAAATAAGAGTGTTTTAAATGCAAACGCTGCTTTCATTTTATATAGTTTTGGAAAACAAGTTTCTCTCGATCTGAATAATAATTTTACAAAACTACAGGTCGTAACAAAAAAAAAAACTAGAAAACGTTATTCAATAGCCCAGAAAAAGAGTTGTAAAACAATATACTATAACCCAGAAAAGGAGCTACAACATGTTATACCGTAGCCAGGAAAATGAGCTACAAGAGATCAGTCTATAGCAACAAAACCGAGCTTCCAAAGTCCATATTACAGCACGTGAATAATGCTACTAGGTGGCATAGAACAGCGTCTAAAATGAGCTACTATATCGTAAATAACAACACAATTTCAACGCTATAATAGAATACATATTATAGCATAATCTGTAAACGCTATTGTATGGTACCACCCTATTATAGCTCCGGAGATCACAGCGTTCATCAAAACGCTATCAAATTGATGTGATAGCGTTATTCGTGAGCTAACAATATAGATTTTTCTTGTAGTGTGGGATGGTTGAAATCCCAGAAGCTGGTCACGTTGTCCATCTCGAGAGCCCTCTGCGAGTGATCCTCACTCTTAGAAAATTCTTAATAAGACTGCACAAAATCTTTGCAGAGACGGAGCTTTCTCGGAACCTCTTGCTAGCAGTGAAAGAAACATAGCAAGCTGCTGGAAAACCTGAGAAACGTTTTGGAACTTGAACACATTGTTTGAACATGACTGGACCTGTCTCAGGGCCTTTTAGTACTTAAAGTGGATCAAATTCCAAATGTAGTGAGCGGGTGCAGAGACATGTTATCAAAGGGGAGTAATAAATTGATTTGAAATTGTCTATTGTTTGTTTCTCTCTGTCTATAAGTATAAATTATAGTGCTTTTTAAAACTCTCTAACACTGGCAGAAACAGTGTCCACCATTACAGGCACAGACACAGGTCCTTTTTTTAGACTTGCATTCCGGAGGACAGTACTTCTTGCAGTCATTGTCATGTTCGTAAACGCCAGTGGACTCCATTAATGTAACCTGCGGCAAGCAGTTACAGTTCTTTTTTCCTTCGAAACATTTGCCGCCGATGCAACTCACTTCTTCCTCCGCCATCTCTCTTGCATCACCCAAAAATGAACCTTCACATATACAACACCACAAACTTTAATACAAAACCAAACCAAAACAAATTATGTAACAAAGAAGAAGCTTACAAAATGCTATGACTGTGAGGGAGAACAAGAAGACAACCTTGAGAGACGTTTTCTCCATTGCTATTGTAAATCTCAAGATATTTCTTGTTTATTTTGATTAAGCTAAGTGATGAAGAGTAGTAGGATTGTCTTCTTTATATAGAAGGAAGTTAACAAATATTTTGATGGAAGGTTTTACCAAGTTGAGTCGGATACTATTTGATTACATATTAATTAGTCTAACATTGACCAAAAATATATATAAAAAAAAAGTTAGTCCAACTTGAGATCTCTCTTTTTTTTAGGAAATCAGTTTATAACAATTCAAGAGATTTACAGTAAAGAAGAGTTAAAGCTCATACAATCACAGAGAAATATCCTAGAATAGCGAATGAATATTCAAGGGTCGATGATCCAATATGACAGTTATAAAGCTTCAAATTGGAGCGGATTTAAAAGCATTGATCAACCAATTGGTAATTAATAATAATAAAAAAAATGAAAGAGAGAGAGATATTGAAATATAAATTGAAACAAAACATTTGTTGGGCGGGAAGCAAAAACAAGCTATTTTTCGTAAAATACAGATTAAGCAATACGAGTTTTTTCTTTTTGTCAAAACAAAATAGGAAAAGTAAGTCAAATCTTTTTTCTATTGTGTAGTTTTCTAGGGCTTTCAGAAGCTAGGTTTGCTTCATATCTCTTTGTCTCTCGCATAATATATAATCAATAATGTTATGTATATGCATAAAGATCTACAACATGTATAAACCTAGCTATGAAAATTATGTCATGTATTATATAATACGCTTATATCTACTTTCATAAATTATTCAATAATATTACGAAAATAAAGTATTTGGTTAAGTAAAATGTGAAGAATCATCAAAATATTTGAACAATATAGTGCATGACAAAAAAAAATTGTTTAACTATATAATTGAAAAAAAAAAACAAGCTATTGGCTCTAAAAGAAAGAAACAACATGAGTTTTTTTTGTCAAAAGAAAAGATGAGGAAAAGCAAAATGTTAGATCAAGCCAAACAAATAAGAAGATTTGTAGACGGAAGAGAAGAATATGAAGAGAGTGTGGTTAGAGTGTTCTGGATAATTTGTTTCATTAGATAAGGAACTCTAAAATGGGAATGTAGCCTTAAATATACACTCATAAGTATTCTTGAAATTAAACCACATAGTATTGAAAATAATTAGTGTATTAAATCGTCATTCTTACGTAAAACCTTTGTTCGACACTTAAGCCACTTTCAACCACCTTCTGTTCTCTCCCGACTCCTATACTCTTAATTCTCTTCTTCCTTCACATAAAAGTCATTTGGACTCGGAGTCTATCACAAAACTTATAAGTGAGCTAGAGGAGAATGTTCCGGTCATGACTCATGAGAAACAAATTGTTCGCACTCAAAGCAGTTCAAGATTATGTTGCTAAAGAGGATGGAGGAGCGTTCTGCAGCCAACCAAGACTTAGCCATATTCTAGACGGCGTAGATACATAGGACTTCAAAATGAGGTGGTTGATCTTAGCTCCAACGACGAAGAGCTTCAACGTCTTGATGGTTTTTGCTCTAGAATCTAAGGAGCTACGATCATAGTAAAAGTCTTCCCAAAATTGATAAAGATCAAAACTGTAACATCCCGATTTCTAAATCTCCTGAGGTAAAGATTCCAAAGATGCTTTGCCTCTAATCGCATTTTAAGGTTTTTGAGATGATAAAAATCTCAGTGACTCTCTCCAGAGCTGGCCCAGGGCTAAAGTCTATGCTTCATGTGCTTTAGGACAGCCCATATAACAACATTTTTAGGGGCAGCGAAAAAAACCCAATTTTTTTTTTTTTTAAAGTTTGTATGAAACTTTGTCCCACATCAATAAGAAAGAAAAATTGTTTATAAATAAGAATCATCATCCACTCTTTATTCTCAAAGAAATTATGGGCTTACTATTGGGCTCAATTATAAATCAACAATTTTTTTTTTAAAAAATAGTGTTTTAGGCCTGAACAAATCGATTTTATGCAGAAAAAAATCAATGATTTTTTTTTAATCGGTTTTAGGCAAAAAACCTAAAGAAATCGATTTTAGGACAGCATGCTTCTCATATTTGTGGGACAAACGGTAAGAATATTTACGGTGGGACAACCGTATAATAAACCCTAGCTGGGTAGATTAGGGATTTGTTCTTACAAAGGGGAAAACATAGATATTCTTACTGTTTTTCCCACCGAATATGAGAAGCGTGCTGTCAGCTAAAGCCATAACATGGCCATAGGGAGGAATTAAAATTCTTTCTGATACATGGGTATTGCATACGGCTAAGAAACCCAATTTTTTGGAAAGATTGACCCCGTGTGGCAATCGGCCTAGGGGGATAATGTTAGTAATTTGGTTGATCTAAGTGATGATTTGAAATTTACCTCCCAAAAGGATGACATCTGAGGCCACAAGAAAATATGTTCTGGAACATGTTTCAGGCCTTCAGTACTTAATTGTATATAGTAATCCCAACTGTTTTGAGTGGTGCAGACATATTCTTTTCAAGGAGAATAGTAAATTGATTTAAACAATTTTCTATATCTATTTGAAATCTCTTGTTCCTCTCTGTATTATAAGTAGATATTGTGGTGATTTCCAATTTCTTAACACTCACAGAAACAGGTTCCAAAATTACAGTTAACAATCTTGCAGCCCTTAGGACAGTACTGGATGCAGTCGTTGTCTCTACCGCAAGATGTATTGGTCTCATAAGTGTCCATTGTAGGTGCTACTTGCGGCAAGCAGTTACCACCGAGGCAAATCACCATCTCTCTCACATCACCCAAAGATGAACCTTTGCAAAAACACACCACAAAAACATCAAAAAAAATACCATAGCAAAAAGTATAGTAAAGAAGAAGTCATCATAGAAGAAGCATACAAAATAAAATGATTGTGAGGGAAACAAGAAGACAAGCTTGAGAGAGGTTTTCTCCATTTCTAATTTGGAACCTCAAAATCTTTTTCTTATTTATTTGATTGTGTAAGTGATGATGATAAGAGAAATGGATTGTCTTCTTCTTTTATAGAGGAAATTTAAACTGAAACAAATCTTTTGTTTGAAAGTATTACCAAGTTTAGTCAGATACTATTTGATTATGCATGCATTGTGCGTTACTACTCTAGCTTGAGATTTCTCAATTTTAGGAAAACTTCATTAGTGGGGGATTTGTTTCTATAGAGGGAAATAAACCAACAGTGGAGATACATTGCTTGAAATGAATACAAGCCATAATGAGTATTTAAAATACAATATACAAATGGCTAATGCTATTGCCAAGAGAGATAAACATATCTTCAAATTGAACTATATTTTTCTTTAACAACAGCCATAGCAAAGAATGAAAGAAACAGCACAAAAGCTGTGGCCAAAACTGCTATCAATCTCAAGTTGCTTGCTCTTCTCATTGTGTTCATCACTGTTCTATGTATTTTAGACGTAATTGTTTTGAAGTACCGTATGAACTTATTCGATTTTTATAACTGTTTTATGTGTGTTTAACTATCACAAATACAGTCACTCCATTAGTTAGATAGATATATTTTCTTTTTCTAACTTTTTGTTAGAGTTTTTTTTTTAATTTCACTTTTTTATATTAATTTTTTTGTTAACTTCCTTTTTAAATAGTTCCTTTTTTGTTTCTTTAAACATTTTTGTTAGATTTTTTCTAAATTTCAGAAACATAAAAAATAGTAAACACTAAGAGGTATAATTTCTATTTTTTATTAAAAAAATGTTTTTGTTAAAAAAAATTATAATTTTGGTTATATATAATTTTAATAACGGTTTGATTGACTATGAAATTAAACAGTAAATCATAATAATTTAGACCGGTAGTTTTTAAGTTTTTTTTTTGCACATCATCACATAAGAACCAATAAAAAATGACATGTAATTGCAAAATAGGGCTAAACGATCTTTTTACAGCCGAAACTTATTCTAGAGCTGACACGTATGCGAAAGGCTGTTAAACTCGCTGTGAACGCGACACATAGGCAAATCACTACACAAATAAATATATAGATTAATTAGTCCAATGTTGAACAAAAATATAAAAATAAGTTAGTCCAACTTGAGATCTCTCTTTTTTCAGGAAATCAGTTTATAACAATTCAAGAGATTTACAGTAAAGACGAGTTAAAGCTCATACAATCACAAAGAAAAATCCTAGATGCGAATTCAAAAGATAGCGAATGAAGATTCAAGGCTCGATGATCCAATATGACAGTTCTAAAGCTTCAAATTGGATCGGATTTAAAAGCATTGATCAACCACTTGGTAATTAATAATAATAAAGAGAGAGACAGAGAGAGAGAGAGATATTAAAATATAAATTGAAACAAAACATTTGTTGGGCGGGAAGCAAAAACAAGCTATTATTGGTAAAATACAGATTAAGCAATACAAGTTTTTTTTTTGTCCAAAATAGGAAAAGTAAGTCAAATATTTTTTTTTCTATTGTATAGTTTTTTAGCGTTTTCAGAAACAAGGTTTGCTTCATATCTCTTTCTCTTTGACTCTCGCATAATATATAATCAATAATGTTATGTATATGCATATATATATATATATATATATATATATATCTACAACATGTATAAACCTAGCTATGAAAATTATGTCATGTATTATATAATACGCTTATATCTACTTTCATTAATTATTCAATAGTATTACGAAAATAAAGTTTTTGTTAAGTAAAATGTGACGAATCATCAAAATATTTGAACAATAATAGCGCATGACAAAAAAAATTGTTTAACTATGTAATAGAAAAAAAAACAAGCTATTGGTTCTAAAAGAAAGAAACAACATGAGTTTTTGTCAAAAGAATAGATGAGGAAAAGCAAAATGTTAGATCAAGCCAAACAAATAAAAAGATTTGTAGACGGAAGAGAAGAATATGAAGAGAGTGAGGTTACTAGTCTTCGGAGAGAAAGATGTCAAATTCAAGGAGATTGCTACTAGAATGTACCACGAGATGAGTAAAAGCAAGAAGAGCGAAAACAACATCATTGGGATGGCTGAAATCCCAGAAGGTGGTCACGTTGTCCATCTCGAGAGCCCTCTGCGA